ATTTTAAAAGAAAATGGAAAAATAGAATAAAAGCAAGAGAGCTTATTAAGGCTAGGTAGTTGGTTAACCCAAAACCATCTTGCTGCCTTGAGAGTACTGACAAAGGAAACGTAAAATCTGTTGGGCTGCTATATCAGAAATCCTTAAGAAATTAGATAACAATCACAAAACAGGACTCTGAATAGACAAAGCAGGAGAACAAGAATGGTAACGTAGGTAAGGAACTTGTTCTGAGGGAGATGCTGATGGCTTGTGCTGAAATGGAAATCCCTGAACTGGGGGAAAGGTCCTCGACAGTTGATCTCAGGGTTGATTTTGTCCAGTATATCCACTGGAGCTACTAACACAAGATGTTGATGACGTGCTGACCATATTTGTTGTTGAGACAAACATACAGAATGAAATATTGCACAGAAGGTATCGGATAACCTTAAAGCCTGAGGTAAGAAAAAACAAATAAAATCAGAATTTCAAAGTGCAAAATCAGGGTAATGGGCTAGTAGCAAAAAGGCCTGATAAACTCTGGGACCTCGTTAGGTTAAAATGGCAGGAGAGGAGAAAAATCCAGGTATGTCGATAAATCATGGAACAATTAGGTGTCACTGGTATGATTTGAGCATGGAAAAAATCATATATGATCCTCTGATCTATCAAAACAGTATTTCCTCAAGAACAAGACATTAATGCCACGGAACAAAGCATCAGTTAGACTTTACCAGGAGTAGTGTATCACCCATGTTCAAGGGAGACTATTTCAGTCTCGAACAGGTAATACAGGAACATACAAGAATCAAAGGAACGAAAAGACAGTATCATAGGAAAGGATAAAAGAGATTTCTCTATTGAGGTTCAACAATTGGTTGAGAGAGGGTACATTTATACAACACACTACAGAAGAAAAGGAGATTTTGAAATCACAGGGAAATGGCCATGTGAGAAAAGGGAAACCTAAACGAATTATGTCTATACTGTGGCTGGAAATTAAGAAGAAACACTTCAGGGTGTGAGACCACAGCAGCTTAAACTTTTGTTTCTAAACCCAAGTTGCCACCTGGCTGTTTCCTCTCCCTCCTTGCTCTAGTGTGCAACATGCTAGTGGCACACGCTATTTAGCTTTTGGCCAGACCAGCTTCCTGAGGGCTGAGGCAGCCCTGATTTAGAGTGATTTTGGCTGCTGTGGCTTCTTCAGGAACATGTAGCGAAGACAGTAAAGCAAGTTTTGAGATGGAGCCCTAAAAAATGAAGAAAGGGATTAAACAGATGCTTGTAGTGGCAAGAGAATTGATTTGACGCCAGAGGTCCTTCATTTAGCAGAGACCTGCATTTTGCTGGGGCCAAACCCCTCTGCGAGGGCCAGCCACTAGGACAGAAATCAAGTGGCTCCAGCAGGCAAGAACTGATGCCTCTATCAGAGCAGACTGGAGCTCATTCATCTGTGGCTGCACTGGCTCCTTTTTTAACGTGTTCAAATCATATTTTTGTTAGCAGGCAACAAACAGGAAGCAGATCTGTCGAGTAAGGCACTGGCTTCTTTGTTTTTTGCATACATGTGCACACACAAGCACACAGAATGAATGATGAAAACACTGCTTCCACATCTTGCCTGGTAGAAAGCCTGCGATCTAGGAATATGCAAATGCTATTATGGATTTTGCATGTATACAGATATCTTCCTATTTGCATTAAAGGGTTTGCAAAACTCCAACAAGAATGCTAGGCCACAACATGCAACTCTGCCTACCCATGTCAGCGTAGCTTTGAAAGGAGCCTTTGATTCAGACTGTGACACTAATCTGGTTAGACGTGCTGCAAAAAATCATTCTCTTCCGGGTCACCAAGGCAGAGGGAACAGTGACATGGTTTTTAAAATGGCCTCACTTCTTCCCCTTCCACTTTACTGAGTTAGAACAAGGTAACAAGGTGCCCAGATGGCTGAATCAAGTTTGTTAGGTGGTTTTATCAGGTCCCAGAAGGGTTGTTGGCCAGCGGGCTGACCCACTGGGGTACTGCTGTGTGTCTGCGCATGGGTTTTTGGTTGGTGGTAACGAGTAGGTGTTATAGTCTCTGTTTAGGGAATTTAGTAAGTGGATCCTAGATACAAGGAACTGGCCATCATTTCATTACAGCAAGTGCTCCAGTTTAAAGGGGTGAGGGGGAAGATACTGAGTGAATTTTAGCACTTACTACAGAAAGAGATATGTTGACCAGAAATAGCAGAGAAACTCAACAGTCTGGCTATCACTCTCTGCTAGTTACTCGCGGCAGTATGCCTGGCTGCTGGGGTGATACAAGCCCATATGATTTTTTTGCTTTCCTTTGGGCAGCATTTCTGCAACAAGGAAGCTGTGTGCACAGCTATGGGATGTAGCTAACTGCGTCTGGAAAAATACAGTCAACATTTTTGGGCTGTGAGCTGGTTGTCGAGCATCTGACCAGACTGGTTTCTGCCAGGCAAAGGGAAGGATTAATGAGAGGCTTTTACAGCAACAGTGCCGCTGCTATCGGGATGGTCTCAAAGGGGGAAGAAAGAAAAAAAAAAAAGGAAGTGGGGGAAGTGACAATCTATTGCCAGAGTATTATCAAAAACCTTTCCTACTTTCCTCCATGAGTGCCAAAGACTTGCTGCTTCTCATTTATTTCACTCCTCCTTGGGATCTGTGCGTGTAACTTGCCCTCAGAAACATTAGGAAAATTCATTGTTTTTTAAGACCCTGCTTCTTCAGGGGTGATTATACGTATCAGATGAGCATATGTAATCCTATCAGTTTCCTGTGGCTGTGACAGTGGTAACACGGGATCCATTGTGCTCTCGCTACATCATCTTTTATCTGCACTGTTGTTTTTCCTCCCTCTACAGTACAGACGCTTTGCTGGCAGAGGCATTTGTCTATGTCTCATGCTAACCATTATCCTACTGTCTTTCCTTTCACCCCACTGCTTTTGATAAGAGTGTCCATTAGGGAAGAAGGAATCAGCGCCATCAAGAAAGTATAGTACTGGAAACTTTACTATAACCTACAGGTTTACAAGGATGGACTGCAGAAATTTATCTTAGCACTTGAGGAAGCAACAAAGAGGCTCTCAGGTGTGCAAAGCTGTATTGCACAGGAGCACTGGCTCCTGAACAAGCAGCACAGCAGCGACTGCACCCTGCCACCCGCCACGGCCGTTCATTCCTAGCGCTCGCCTCTGTTCCTCTCCCCTCAGGAGCAATAGGGAAGCAAGCTGAAAAGCATCCAAAAGTTGCTTGCCAGAGGATCCTTCCCGAGGCCCCAGCCTTAACAAAGAGACTCTCTTCTCCACAGCCGTGGTGGAAAGCAACAGACTAATGCGTTTATTAGATGATAACTGCTTTGGGGACAGTAGGTAGATTGCATATACTGTATTCAGTTTGTATACAAGCACTTGTGTTATACAAAAACTTTTTAGGGGAAGGAACAGATTCATTCTCTCTATGGTAAAATCAAGGACCATGTAACCACAATGCTATAGCATAATGCTCAGATAACATTTAGCACTACGTTTTCAAAAACATTATTACTATGTACTGGCAACCTGAGGTTCTCAAAGTAAAATTGGCTTGTTTGGACCCCACTGGAAGTTAGTGGAAGGACTGGTAGTGGAACACAGAAATCCTCTCTCAGTGCCCCACTCAGAGCATATCACAACTTTGCTCCTCTCCCTTTCTGAGCCCCTAACATTTCCTCATTTCAGCAGCACTGAATTCTTTGTGACTCGAATTTACCATTGCCGCAGTGCAAATCCAGAAGTTGGTAAAAGGATGAAAGAAGCGCAGGGCTGATAGTCTAGGGACCAATTAATTATTTTTCTTTCCATTACGCAGATTACTCATATATTTTGGTCTGAGATGCATGAGGATGCTCTGTTGGATCATGGGGGAAGGGTTAAGCCTGGTGCAGGATCTTGCCTGATGGGGAGGAAACTGCAGTCTTAGACCACAGCAGAGGAACGTGTGCTTGAGCAGCAAAGAGCACAGAGCCCTGGTGGGGGATAAACCCTGGCTTCAGGGCAGTAAAGGCCATCCAGCTCCAGGACCTGCCCTGTCAGATGGGGCTATCTGGAAATCAAAGATCACCCTGGCTGGCTCCATCTGTCATGTGGGGTCATGGAGCAGGACAGGCTGCAGTGCTGCACTGGAAAAAGACCCAAAGCATGGGTAGCTCTGATTACTGAATGTAAAAGCAAGGGAAGCAACAATCATTGGCAAGTATTCTTGGAAAGAGAGTCTTCCAATTCCCTATGGACCTAATGTTCACATTATTCAGCTCTCTACTTACTTATGTCCCAGCTTTTTTAATCTTGTCATGTTGAATTTACACCAGAGACAGACCGATTCAGACAGTGAAAAGAGTCTTTACAAGTACAGCAGTCCCAAAGCAAGACATAACAGCATGTCAGAACTCAGCTCTGTCTGATGGCAATGCCATCCCTGCGCTATGAACCCTTCCATTAAAACATCCCACCGCCGACAGGATGGCCCGAACACCCCCCCTTGTATTGACATTGATATGAGCACAAATTCTCTACCCTTTTCCACTCACACCTAGAGAGCGGGTTACTGCCTTACCAGGATCCTGCGGCAGTGAATGGCCTCTGACCGTTCTTTCTACAACACAAACGGGAAGAGGAACTGTTGCCCATAACAGCTGCTCTACACCTCTCTGCTGTGCGTGAGTCCCCAGTAAAGGTCACTCATGCTGCTCTTCCCACCGCAAAACTTGAGGCCCATTTCACCTTTTCATTATTAAAAAAGCAATCTTATTTAAACAAACATTAGCCAGATCTTGACTCTGGAGAAACCCCACCCTTATCTCCTGCTCCCTTGGCTCTACCCCAACTGTCATTGCCCTGGGCAAATATAAAGGTCCATTCAGATTTTTCAGAAAGCTACATTGCTCCGTATGACTGACAGTAGGTGTCTGGAAAACCTGCAAACTATGTTCACAAATCAGCTCAGCTGTTTGTCTTTCCATTTTCAGTGCAAGGAGTTCACTTTCCACACTGGCTATGAGGTGCTTGTACAACGACTGTTGGACGGCAGGAAGATGTGCAAAGATGTGGAGGATTTGCTCAAGCAGAGGTAAGAAAACAAGAGTGAAAAAAATATGAAAAGCCTCCCTTTTTATCCTCTGCTTTGCACCTGGAAAGGAGTAGTAGGCTGCTTCTGAATTTGGTAGTGATACTTGTTTACTCAGAAAAGTAATTTGAGTCCTAACTGGTCGCAGCTGCACAGGCATCTCACTGATTCATTTAACTGTGAGATTCATTCTCTGCCCCTGTACTCAGGGCTATTTAGACAAATCCAAATATAAAGTAATTTCTGAAAATGAAGCAAAATAAATAAGAACTTCATGCTAATTACATTTTATGAAGGAGAAGGAAGATGGTACATGATGGAAGTGAGCAATGAGAGGGATTATCAATATTATTGGAATATTATTTCTCTTGGAGTATAAATGCAGCTTTTCTCTCACAGGATAACTCCTAGCCTTTTGACGTGATTTGTGAAGGTAGAAACTTCAAAGACTTAGGGAAAGTGGTGAAACAATCAGACATGCAGAGCTCCATTAAGGCAGTTATCAGTCATAATTACATGGTACCACGTACATCCACAACAAGAAACATTACTGAGTTTCTGCTGTTAAGAAAACAAATGATTTGCACGTTGTTTCTTTTCACATGCTGTCGCCACAGGCAGTGTTTCAGTTTCCTGCAACTACTGAAAACACATTATTTTTCAAATACAAATCTATGTAAAATGCTATCAAAAGCCTTTCCCAGACATCCAAGATAGTCCACGTCATTTGTCCACCTTAGCAGGTTCTGTTTTCATATCATCTCTGGATAATAATTTTGTACTTTATCTCCCTCCCTTACATGTTTCTTTGTGTCCTCTCAGCAACATCTAGGGACAGCGAACGTTCTCCTGGGTGAGAAAATACATATTAGACAACTGCCCTGACTTCTTTGTCACTCTTTTTTGTACTTCAGACTCAGAAAACAATATCTGAAATGTAGTTCTGATTTTAAGTGGCTGGGTTCACAGCTTCAGCATGTAGCATGAGGGACGTGCTCATGTATGACCTATAGTTCAGACCATATTTATACAGCAGGTACTCCTGGAGAGGTTAATCTCACAATTGTCTCTACGCCTATTGTTCTGCCTTCCTTGATCACAGCCTGCCCTTTCATCCCACGCAGGCCCCATCTGGTTTTCTGGTTTTATGCTGGTTTTCTGAAGGCTTGCTTTCAAGCGCTGGGACTTTCACGGGGGTGTGAGCTATCAAACTAAAAATTCCTTAAGTTACACAACTATAAAGTCTCCCATCAAAATATGTAGCTCCTTGAATTGCTTTTCTTGACCACCATTGGGAGCATATTTTATTGCCACATGTCACATAGTCCTGAAGTCACGTCAGTCTGATGGTATCTTAGCCTCTTCTGTTTAAAATAGCTCCTTTGTGACTCATAACTTACAGAGATCACAGTTAAATTGCAGGTTTCAGACAGGCTGTGCGCTACAGCTTGCATCTGATGCTATATAGGTCTATTTTTTTTTTCAGAACGTATTAGAGGGGTTTCTACAAGGTGCAGGATAAGGTTCTTCCTGCTTTGTGGTAGAAGCAGAAAGAACTTTCCACAAAGACAAAAAAATACACTTATAGACATTTTGCAGATCAGAAGGCTGAAAGAACAAATTTTTCCATGAACTTTTGCATACCCCAAAAACATTCCAGTGAGTGTGCACATGTGTGTGTGTGTGTGTGTGCACGCATGCACCTTGGGGAGGAGGAAGAGGAGAAAAGATCTCCTGCAGCCACAGAGTTGCAGAGAGAAGGTGTCATTTCCAGTTTATTTCTGGAAGTGGCTTTTTTCATCTTGTCCTTGTATCATTCATGGGAATGATCTAGAAGGAGATAAAAGCATAGGATGAATAGCTGTTCTTAGAGGCTGCCTGTGTCATTGGTTTGATGCCAGAATTTCAGCAAAGGCTCCTGTAGCAAAGGCTCCTGTAGCAGCTGTCCTGAGTTTGGAAACCAGCTGCCCTGGGTGCACTAACACTTAATGAGGTTTCCACTCAGGTCAATTACTTTTGCCCACAAATACCCCAGTCTGGTACAGAGGAGCGCTTAAGAGCTCGGGGACTGAGAAAGAGGTCATCTTCCAGAACAAAAGGCAAGGCCCCATATTCAAAACCTGAAATATTTTCCAGTTCCGAACTGCTGCAGGGAAACCTGGAAGCTGTGCGCAAGAGTATCTGAGAGTGAGAAAGGCAGCAGCAAGGTCTGAAAAGATGGTGTCAGCCCCCTGCCACACACCTCAGACCCTGAGCCAGTCCAGTTCCAGGAAGATTTGACCCAAGGGCTTGCAGAAGCTGGGATTTGCTCAAGAGCTGGCTATGCCCTTTTCCCTTGATGTACCGTGTACAAAGCAGACAAAACAGGACTGTGGCGCTGGGGTTATTCTTATGGCTGCATATCCACCAGTGCCGAAGTCTCATTGCAGAAGTTACTAAAGTCGGAAGAAAACAAATCTAATTTACTTCTGCAGCTTTGTGCGCCTCTTGAGTATATTTCCACTTTGATAAACCTTCATTCGTCTAATGTGGAAATGAAGTGGTATCTCTGTGTGGTCCCACCGCCATATTTTGCACCAAATCCCCTCCTTCTAGAAGGATCCCAAATCAGTAACATATGAACAACTGCCATATGTACATGGCCCCAATAAAATGCAGCTCTTTCTAGTGCAGGATGACAGCAATTAACTAGCTGCACATGCAATGTTAGACCCACGGGAGACACGGGCAGAAGCCAAGAGCAGCCTCCACTCCTGGCACGTGAATATTGCACAACCGGCAGTGCTATTCAGCCCAACCTGTCTAGTTTCCTTGGATGGAGCAGAAGTCCCCAGGTTGAGTCTGCCTCAGATATCAGACCCCAGAAAACAAATATGTGAAATTTCCTCAGGACCACTGGCACAGCTGGCTACCGAGCAAGGTGCTCGCAGATCTTGTACGCAGAGGAATAGCCAACAAGCAGGCAGATATGCTTTAGCAGCCAGCCAACCCAAACAGCTGCAGTGTGGCAGACCCTAAAAGTCTAGCCCTGAATAAAGCCCTTGACCTCAATAAATTGCATTTATAAGGCACAGTGTGGCAAGTGGGAAGACAGAAGTATGGATAAATCAACAAGTTTGGCCTTGTATCTGCACTGAAATTTCTTTTTTGAAGAAAGAATATGTTTCTCCAAGGTGCCAAGTGTCAGCCTCAAGAGCCTTTCAAATGCTTTGAAATCACTTTTGAAACCTAGACTTACCCTAACCCCCTCCCAATTCCTAACACAAAGGTGTCTGTTGATTATTTATTATTGGCCATTCAATAGCTTTTAACAGCCACACAAAGGCAGAAAACTCTGTTCTGCCTCTGGCCTTGCACTCAGGAAAAAGGAAATAACATATTCAGTACAAATATATTTTTCTAAGCTCTTCTTCCAGAGCTTAGAGAGGGGAAGACAACGAAAGAAGAAATCACTGTATTTCTTTATTAACCCTGGAAACAGAACTAGTCTCCCAGGTCCCTAGTTCCAGTTCCCCATTAGGTGAGGCATCACATCCTATTGTCCCCTCCAGAAAATTGTCACAGCTTCACCTTATAACTAGCACAGTTACTTCCCGCTCTGCTTCTGCTGCAGCTGCTCAGGAAATACCTTGTGTCTCTAACGGTTAAAAATTTTCTTCTTATTTCCAGCTTCCATTTATTCATAACCTCCTCCCAAAGGGATCCTTTGGATCCTGCTGTTGACCTACCAAAATGAAGGCTGGGAGGGGAGTGAAGTCAGCCATGTTCTTTTAGGTTCCTTAGGCAGAACAGACGCTCCATTTTCCTGAGCATCTGCATAACGGTTCTCTAACACCTCTTCTGGTTGAATTCAGCTTTTTGGGGACAGAATTTTACATGGCATTCCACAGTTTCATCAAGGTCATGGAGATGGGCATTCTTTTTCCCTCAACTCTTCTGGAAATATCTCACCCAAAACATTTTAGAGGTCCTAATAGCACTTGAATCAGGGAGACAGAGAAATTAAAGAATTTCTATTTCTTATGTTTTATAACTCAGAAACAATTGCAGTAAGATTTTTGTAAACATGATTCTAGTACCACTAGGAGAAACTGAGTAACTTTTTCTTTTAACAGAGCACAGGCAGAAGAGAGATATGGGAAAGAGCTGGTTCAGATTGCTCGAAAAGCAGGAGGACAAACAGAAATCAAGTAAGGGCTTTTTTTTAATTATTAGTGCAAATGAAAGCGTTTTGGAAGCAATATCAAACTCCTGGGTTTCCTAAGGAATGAGGTCTTAAGCTGCTCAATTCACAGTGAGTTACACAACATTTCTTAATATTCAGGGAAAGCGGGGAAACACCATGTTCCATCAAAACAGGACTTGTGAAATCTCTGTTTGGGAATTGCCGCTAGGTCTTTACTGACCAAATTTTTAATTTCAGGATTACTAACAATATTTAGTATTTGCTTCCAAAAGCAAACTGAGTGATAGGAAAGAAGGAAAAGGAAGAGGGTGGGAAATGTTTGGGTTAGTGGCTTGGCAATTCTTGGTAAACACTAAGAGGTTGTGACAGGGCAAACTCGACGTGTAAAGACGCCCAATATTAGCTCTGCAGTAGGAGAAAGGCTTAGCTTAGAAACACAAACTTCAACGCCCTTTGAGGAGACTTTACTCAAGACAAATCAATGAAACTACTGAAATGCACTAAAATGACACCTATTTTTCTCTGCCTACTATACTATTATCTTAGGTCATATATAAATTGCGTTGGAAGGGGAAGATATATGTTGGCATGGAATTTAACTTAATAAACACTGCTGATAAACTGCTGCTATTATTGATCTTAGTAGCAATAATGAGACATTTTGTCATTGCTGTAACAAGTAATAACAGCATAATAAGGTGGAAGAGGATGAAGATTTGGGGTCACAGAAGATAGGTCTGAAAGAGACCTCAATCTAAACAAAACATCTCTATCAATCCCCAGGGCCCACTACTCCCATCCATCCCATACCTCATTTCTTAATTACAGTCTCCTTTTTAGGCCAATTTATCACTCTTTCTCAGCATGAGCATGGTTTCCTGTTCATATTTTATTGGAAAACTTGACCTCAAACCCTTGCATCATCAAGACCTGCAAGTTCCAGTCAATCATCTGTAGCGTGGGCTATTGTTTCTGTGGCACATCCGGACCGAGAAGGAAACTGTTGCATTAATTCGAGTGCTAAGCAGGCAGTGCTATGCAGCGCTGAGGCTCACTCCGGAGCACATGCAAACCTTTCTTCCTCCCTAGCTGCTCCATCTGTGCCTTACCCTTGAACAGGGCAGTAAAGTATAACAAGGACTTTGTTATAAAGTGTAACAAGGACTTGCCATTACTAGCAAAGGCTGCTGAAGATGCCTTGTACCTCCCAGAGAAAAGGAAGGAGAAGAAAAATGATTTCAAAATTAAAATAGCAGATTAAGGATGGATGGCTTCTTCTCAAGCCAAATGTCAGATTAGCATTTCAAGATTAACAAAAGGCTCAGTCTAAATTTCTTTACTGTCAGTGCGGAGCAGGCCAGGCAGACGTATTCAGAAACGGACAACTTTGGCTGCTCCTCTGTGACTTAGTGGATAATTCATGGGTCTGAGTTTTCCTAAGGGATTATAATAGTCTGATTTAGAGGCAGAGCCAAGTCCCAGAGTTGTGATATGGATCCAAGTTCCTCTGAAGTTGGGGGAAGTTTGGAACCAGGCCCAGCTCTGCCTTGATCCAGCAATTACATAGTTTGGCATGGTGAGAACACATTGAATATACCAATGCAGCAAACTGCAGAGCTGATTTACCGTGTTTCCATAAACCCACACCTGGTCTGGGTAGTGACCAGATTCACACTGATATTTTTATCAGAGTAAATATCTCTGTCTATTCTGGAGCAGAGACAGAGAGAACACACTTTACTTTCTGTCATTCAGCATGTCTTTGATTGTTTAAGGAGTTACACAGATGGACAGTGGAGGACATTTGTCCAGAGCACATAGCTTTAAATCAGAGAAAACTGGTCTCTCTTCAGGGCTGGAACAGCTCATGAAAATGAAATATTTAGTTTTAATGCCTTAAATGTTTTGACATGGTGTGAAGTTTGCTTGTTTATAGGACTACACTGATGACAGCAGTTCTGCTCCCAGGATCAGGCTCACAGAGAGAGCAGAGGTAGGGAGCCGACACGCCACTGAGTCAGAAATGCTTCTAGAAGAATGATGCTGCAACGAATCGCATGCATTATTCCAAATCTTTCCTCATTATAAGACTCCTCATTGTTAGATAGCGCACTGCATTGCAAACGCTTGATAGGCTGAACAAGGATGGTCGCATCTTTGAATGCGCCTTTGGGTAGCAGTATTTATGAAACAAAGTGTAATTAAGGAGTCATGCAAGTATTTGTATCTGACACTTGCGTTGGACAATCACCAGGAGAAAAAGTAGCTTCCACTTTTTTTTTCCCAGAACATTTTCCAGAACTTCTTGTGCCATGTTATAGATTGCAGAGGGAATTATTAATTTCAAATCACTCAGTCACTTTCTTGCTAATGCAAAATTATCCCCTAGTCTTAAATTCAGTCACCTTTTTAATATCTTGGGTACGAGGGCTTTCTGTTACCTCTGGGAAATTATTTCACAACCCAATAGTTCTCAATATCAGCAAGATACCTGATATGCCTTTAAAAAGTTGATTAAAAAAAAAATTTCCATAAGCAATAACCACCCATAAACTTCCAGTGTCAGAAAATACCCAGAAGATCCTAAGAGAAAGACATGCAAGGCAATTAGTTCTGTTTAGCATATTATAAACAAATTCTGAAACAAAGGAATTGGCTGCAACCTCCCCCATCGCTCCACCAGGTCAAGGTGATGCTCCGTAGCAGTTACGGAAAGTAGAGCAGGAAAGCAGCAGCACTTACAGCAGCAAAAACCCAGAGAGAGCCGCAGTCCCCGCGTAGCTGGCCTCTTTGCGAAGCACCAGCGGCAAAGTGACGCCACAGCGGCACGGCAGCCGAGGGAACCTGCCGCGCAGGCCAGGCTGCATCTGCCGCAACGGAGACGGCAGGCACAACCGCCTCCTGCGATAAGGGGGCCAGCAGGGCCTTGCTTGCTTATGTCCTCTCAGTACTAGTATATGCTAAATGTCAAACGTTTCTGGTGCCTGCTCCAATTCAGGCAGAGGAGGAATAAGAATCAGAGTCTTCCACGTCCAGGTGGGTGCCCTAACTAGCACGGCATGCTGCACCAGGTAATTGCCGTTACCATGTCCTCATTCCCTGTGTGCAGAATAGTTCACCCCAAAGCCTCCCCAAATTTAAAAGCTTTCCATTTTGAATCAGATAAAAGAACAAGCTGAACATTTTTCAGGCTCTTCCCTTCTCCCCCTGAACTTCTGCTTTAGCTGGAGCAAACTGCTGAACTCACCCGAGCGTATAAACTGTTTCAACTGCCCCTTGTTGTTTCCTGAAAGATACAGATCAAGGAATGCACTGCTGACTCAAAAAAAGAGATAGTAGGGATGGCTGGCTGAAAGGCAACAGGAACTCTGGGACTAGCCTCTGTTATTTCGAGAAAAATATATATGACAACAGTCATCAGGTTTCCATCAGCACATATATAACTGCTCATCTGGATTGCGAGAAGCTCTGCGCTGAGAGCGCTGTGCAGAGCACGGGAGGTCTGCCTTCATGCTTACACTCTGATTAGAATAAATTATTGAGGGCAGATTTTCTTCTTTAGGCGCTGGTTTTGGCCGAGGTTCTCGGAAGAAAGGATTGTCCTGCATGCTGTTTGTGACCAGACTGCATTTGTCTCCCTAGTACGAGCTGTCGTCAGAGTAGACACCCCAGGGTCTCATCAGCGCACTCCTCTGATGGGGGACGGACCCACCAGTCCCGACAGCTGCTAGTGCTTCCCAGAGCCAGATAGGATTACAAGGCAAGGCTGTACTAGGACACTTCACTACTGAATAACAGTGGTAATATAACATAGTAACCTGGGAAAAGAGGACAGCGTTGTGCCTCCACTTGCAGACTCTTTAGCACTGGAAATGTGGGAAACGACTTTGACTTGACTGCTAGTAAGGGACAAGCTTTCAGCACTGCCGCAGAAAGTGCAAGACAGTGCAGCAAGCTTCAATTAGGCCCTAATCATTCTTTTCAAACCGGTATTGAACGTGGCCATGCCTGGCCTACTCCTACAGAAAAGTCTCTAACAGCACTAAAAATCACAGGGGCAGGGGGACCTGCTCAAAATTTTTCTTCTTCTTTTTTTTTTTTAAAGCAAATGCAGGACTGGTAAAAGAAGTTGGTGCTGGCTACAATGGGCACAGCAAACCAAATACTCCAGCTTCCATCTCAAGAAATAAAAGTACTCTGAAATTGCTGTCTAAAACACAAAGCATGGAAGCATTCAATAGTACAGTCAGATTCAAACAAATTCAGGCCTTCTGGTTGCTTGCAGTATTAGATCAGACGTACATGACAGAGGTGGATTAGCTTCCTTAGAGTGGGGTTTCTCGCAGCATGTCTGCACTGGTGACCTGCGGTCCCCCCGCCCTATTCTGCTTCTTACAAACATATCGAGCTCCATGCTGACAGCACAAGTATGGAAAACACTGTCAGACTACTTCTTTCAAAGTAATCAGCTGCCTGTCCCAGGCGATCAGTCCTTGAGGGATATAAGCGAGAACTGCAGCCGTTGGGATGAAAGGACGGCGCACGTGTTCGAGGGCTCAGCCAGAGTTCCTGACTTTTGCATGCTGCACAGAAATGGATCTCTGGAGCTCACCTATCAGAAGTTAGGAATGCTATCCATACTAACTTTAAAGCTCTGTTGCACCACTATTTTAATTACAACAGGCTTACATCTGAATCATGATTTCAGAGAGTCCAGTTATAACGCAAATTATGAGAAAGATAGTCACAAAGCTGCAGCCAAGTATTCTGGGCAAAGGCCAGGTTACACCAACATCCAACAGGGAAAACAGAACTATATGTTATGAAGTTTAACCTTCTGTATAGTCTTGCACTCCCTATATTCTGGCAAAAGTGGTTAAGAAAGAAACCCCAATATCCTTTCGTGTTGCACACACAGGAAAGGATGCCCCAGAAAGCGGCGATTTTTCAGCCGAGTAACAAGATCAAGTTTGCACATGTTTGCTGGTAGCTCTCACAGGAATG